CAGAACTGTGCAGTTTGCTTCACTCTTCTTATCATATGGCTCAGAACAGGGCTGAATGATTTTGGAAAATATTCTAATTGCAATTATTATTTTTTTAACCTCAATATTGCGATTGCGATTTAATATGCAATTATTTTTTCTCTGTCTTCTTCTCATGCATTTTTGAACAAACACTAGTAAAAAGTCGATCTGTTTCAGTTGCAAAAAACTCCACTGTTTTCAGCTCTGCTGCAAATCTGTTTCTGCATTTTTTGTGTAGCTCTGGGATATCAACTTGTCTTGTGCGCGAGGGCATCCTGTACTGCTTACCCATTGTGTTTATGAAAGCCGTAAACCCAGGCTTCACTATATTAATGGGAATCATGTCTTTAGCTATGAACTCCGTTCTAGCGCAAGTTATTTCCGCGTGCCGTTTCGAATCGTGCTTATACAGAATAATACTTTTGAACAGTTCGGTCAGTGATCCCTGTCAGCTGGTACTTTGCTTATCGTATTTTCTGCAGGACACGTCGCTCCGCCCCACAAGTCGCATCAGTCCATAAATCTAATAAAGTGGAAAAGTCCATAAATATGTCGCTTCGCCGTATATGTCGCAGTGTTTCCCCTAGATAACTTGCCATGGTTGGGTGCTCATCTCGTCCGGGATTTTTGTCCGGGGGGGTGGCGGATGGAGACATGTCCTAAACTGCGGGGACGGGGCACTCTGTTCTGTAGACTGGGCGGGCCGCCCCGCTTATATAATGGTAGGGGAAACACTGCGTCACATCTATTATGCAAAGGTGTGTCTCAGTCTAACATTTGCTTAATGAATTCACTTTAATGGTCAAATCAGCTGCATTTCGCCGGGGCGGTGCAGCAGGTTTGATGGTTCCAAGCAACAAGCAGAATGAAGGTGCGGAGACTATGGCAGGCTGATTGAGTCATTAATAGCTGGTGAAGATTCTCAGTCATTCAGGATATGGTAAATTCAAAAAAGTTCAAGGAAAAAAAACAAGAAAGTATAAAGTATAATAATTAAAGTCCAGTTGTTTTAGTCTTGGAAGTTTTTTGAATTTGTCATTGTAGCCACGTTTACCTATTACATGATACAACAGCATGCCATATTGCTATTACTACTCTGCTGCCATCACGTGGCTGAAAGTGGTACTGCTCAAATAATTTTTTTCTGTCAGAATGAATGAAAAAGTTTGTATCGCAGCCAAAAAATAGTTTATAAATATGGGGAAAAATTCATAAATATGTTGCTTCGGCCTATAAGTCGCAGGGCATGTAAATTATGCAAAAAAACTGCAACTTATAGGCCGAAAAATACGGTACTTTAAGTTGAAGCACTGGTCGTTGGCATTCTAGCCATGCAACTATCGTAAATGGCTCTGTGGTGTTTTTCCAAGTCTTGATAAAGATTTGTGGTGTTCCCTCGAGAGGCAGGTTCTGCACAATACATGTTGTTGCACAGCGCCTTCTTTCTTTATAGCCAAAATAATTCCAAACAACGGACGTGCTGCCCCTCCTTGGTACCAAACTTTCAGGTGTATCAGCTTTTGTCGAGCCTGAGCTGACGCCATTGACGCCATTGTGCAACTGGTTAAAGAGCAGTGTTGACTTTTCCCGCTCCCTGCTCTGCTTTGCTCCGATCCGCTCACTCACAAGTCACTAACCAGATCTTGTGACTAGTCAAATTGTAACCTTTGCCATTAGAAAATCTTGTTTTATCATATTGCGATATTATTGCAAATGCAATTAATTGTTCAGCCCTAGCTCAGAATGAGTTAGTTTAGACTGCAAGCCACTAATAAATAATTTTATGCGCACTATTTAGATTTTTAACAAGGTGCTCTGATATAACTGGTAATGGCTAACCAACTGTACATTATGAAACCATCTCAAGTGACTAAGATCATGAAGAAGGAGCACAAGAGTGAAGGCCTGAGTAGTCCCTGTGGTCACCGGAGCGCACTGTGCTGTGACCCTAAACTGTAAGAGTGGTTCCAGCAGATCCCAGGAACAATCTCAGAGATCTCTGTCCAGAAGAGTGAAGTCCTAGAAACGGCTAATATACTGTGCAGAACCCTCAAGTCCCCAGATCTCTGGTAAAGGGCCTGAGCGTGAAGTTGAATCATCCAAGTGGAAAAAAGAGCAAAATGTTCTAATTTTACTGTCATAACTATTACATTGAAGATTGGCAGCTTTGTTGGGTTGTAGTGAAACGTTGTGATACTAATGCTAGGTCTGAGCTGCTACAAGCTCCGCTCCCCGTCCAGAAGTAGTGGAGCTGTCTGCTGTGAGGGGGATTTACATCTGGTAACTTATGTTTTATAGTTTTATTATAATGCAGAAAATACACTTAGCCTCTTTACTGCCGAGGTACTGGGAGTAAAATAAACATTGTCTACAAGGCTTTTTTTTCATTTTACACTAGACTTTTTTTGTAGTGGTGAGTCAGGTTTTATCAAAGTGTACTGGAATTTTAAACAAACGCCTAGTTTCTGAGCAGACTTATTTGCATTTGGTTAATTGGTCTCCATCCATCCATCCATTATCTTTACCCGCTTCTTCCATTTTGGGTCACGGGGGGTCGCCGGTGCCCATGTCCAGCAATCACTGTGCGAGGGACGGGGTACACCCTGGACGGATCGCAAGTCCATCACAGGGCCGTTAATTGGTCTCATTTATTGATATAGTGTTTTGCTGTAATACTATATTATGGTATTATCGTGATAGAGAGGTGACTTGTATCGTATCAAATTGTTTTTTGCTGCTCATGTACCGTTATTGCTTCGTATTGCTGACACTGTTGCATCTGATGTGCAAAACCCTGAATACTGTTGTAACAAAGCTTAAATGTGTTGGGTCTAAATCACCACTTTGTCTTTGAATCCTGAGATTGAGTCTACAATTTTAAAAAAGCTTTGTGTTTAGTTGTTACCTGATTGTGAAGCCTAAGTTCAGGGTGACCTCGGTTTTTGATTAAATGTGATTATAAATATATATATTTTTTACATATGCTTACTATTTTATATATTCTCAGAGAAATTAGGAAATTTTCCAGGTTGTCCAGTGGACAACCTCTTCCCAGAATCTGATTGTCTGCCAAGATTTTTTGGTCTTCTGCAACATTTACAATAAAGAAGGCCAAAAAAATCTCGTGGAAAAATAGTAATTTAATACCCTGATGCATGCTCAATTAGTAGTAGTAATAATAGTAGTAGTAGTAGTAGTAGTAATTTAATACGTATATTGCACTATAAACAAAGTTTACTGTATAAAAATGTTCTCAGTCATCCAGGACGAGGAGAACAAAGAAGTTCTACTCCATCAACTCCTGAAAGCGTCTGCCACTCAGTAGCTTGGAAATTAAAAGCAGTCAACAAGATGGCTGACTGAGAACATTTGTATATGCATAGGCCTGTCACGATAAACAATAAATCAATTAATCGCATGATGAATGAAAATTATCGACCTCATTTTCATTTATCGGCTTTATCATTTCTTCGTGTCTCTCTTTCTACTGAAGACACTGGATGACAAAAGGTTCAACTCCGGTGCTCTTCACTGTCTCCTCCCTTTCTCCTTTTCTTTAAAATAATTTTTCACCGTCCAAAATCACGTTTTTGGATCGTTAAAAGCTACTAAGCTGAGAAGCTAAGCTACGAGCTAAGCTAACAGGCCAACCTCAGAAAAAAAACCTCTGTTTTGTCGAAACTCCAAAATTCACGGTTGAAACTCGTGCCTTTGTGTAAAAAGTTGTTTTTCTCTGCAAAAAGAAGCTGAGAACTTGTTTACTGATTTTTTTTAATTAAAAGCTTTGTGTGAAAATTAAAATGCTATGCTAAAGAGCTCAAATCACCGTGCATCTGCCATGTCACCATGGCAGCCCATGTCACGTCAAGGGCCCTCCCTCCCATTTTTCTTAAAGAGACAAGCTGCTCAACTATCCATCCTTTGGTTCAAACAGTCTTATACTGCCATCAGGTGGTCCAAAAAGGTACTACACTCCAAACAACAATGGCAATTAATTATTAAGTTTCAAACAATATTCTCGTTTATCGCAATAATTTCTGAGACAGTTAATTGCCCAGCTAAATTTGTTATTGTGACAGGCCTATATATACGGGAAATAAACTTTGTATACAGTGCAATATACTTTTTAAATTAAAAATGTATTTTGGATTTTTTTTTGCGTTCTTATTGTAAAGGTTGTGGACAACCACAAAGTTTGGCAGACAACCAGATTTTATCTAATAGAGTTTGTCCACTGGACAACATGGACAACGATTATCAGTTTAATATTGACTGAATGGCCACGCATGACAGAGCCACATTTATACACGTCCCCTTTGTTATTAATCAGTACATAAGCTCAAATCTCACACAGCTCACAAACAACCTCTTTTATTATTATTTTTTTGAAACACGCTTGTGGTTCTGGTCCATATCTGTCCTGGATCATGCTTTTTTGTGGCTCAGTGCAGAACTCGGCCTTTTCGTGCTGTATTTTGTTTGGTTGTTTTGCTTGCAGTCCCTTGCCTGCTCACTGGGTTTTTGTTGTGCTTTTTCATTGGCTGGATCATGGTTTGCATTGCTGCTTGTGGTGGTTGGTAAACGCAGCGCATCACTTGTGTATTTTTATGTATATTCGCATTCATTCTCATACCTCGCTGTCATTTAACTGCACACACTTTATAGGCTTTACCAAACAGCAAGTGAGAAACTACATGCACAAATACTGTTAGTGAAATGGAAAGTACTGATACACAAATAGCATTTATTCACACACTTGGTTGTATAAAACACAATTATTAAGTGCTTTATGGGTGGCTAAAGACACAGCAATTATCTCAGACACTTGCTCAGAAATGCTCTCTTCCCTGCTATCACTAATCATTTGCTGTTGCACTGGTGCTTGTTTTTTTTATATCTTTTCTTTGCTATTTATGTTTTTCTTTCCTATATTTTCCTGTGTTCATTGTAATCATGACCTCTCGCTGTTTTAATTTCAGATTTGCATATCCACTTCCACTCCTTCCTCATTTGCATACAGCGAGAATGGCGAGCGGGCATCCCACAGACAAATTCAGTTTCATGTATCAACCAGACACGCACAAGAGGTACGGGGCACGCATGCACACACCTTCACACACGCGCACACACTTTTAAATGCCCGGGTTCCTAATGAGCAGGTAAGCTGAAATTAATGGTGGCGTACTTTGTCTTATTTTCATCTTCTCAGGGAAGAAGGATGACTTGTGAGGACGTGCATTAATGCACTGGCTCTGTTATTAGGCATCTTTACCATGACCGTTTCTAGCATGGGAATTTATTATTGGCCATTCATCTTTTTACTCTTGCAGTGTTGCTGTGGCGCCTAATCCTACCATGAATTTGTGCAGTAATAAAATATGAGGCAAACTTTCCAGCTGTGCTTAATGCTGCACAAGAGACGACACCAGAGTTCATCAACTAATCGTGGCCTTCTATATTTTTCTCTGCACTTGTGCTCGATGTTATTCCAACACTATATTCCTATGTTGAGCCTACTTTAGAGTGATTATTCACGAGGTTTAATTATTCCGTTTTGTGCAGAAGCTCTCAGATGAATGTCCTTGTAGCAATCTGAGGGATTATTGTGGTGATGCGTGTGCTTTGTAATCTTTAATTTTTGTTTCTTCCATCGACATCAGTTAACGTCCCTTGCCCTTAATTTTTTTCTTCCTTTTTGTCTCCTCCTTTTCTACCCTCTTCCCTTTTTCTTAGCAAAAACAGATTAACTTCAGCCATGAACCCAGTCTACAGCCCTGTTCAGCCTGGCACTCCATACGGAAACCCTAAGAACATGGCCTTTGCAGGTAAACCCCCCACACAGACACACATTGTATCACTTGTCTGCCACTGTGAACATGCTGTTAAAAATGGCACAGACACCATTTAAAGTAATAATTAATTGCCTCAGTGACATTGTAAATGTTTTAATACTGCAGATAGGGCGGCACCTCCTTCTGAGGGAGCTACAGGTCATTAATTGTATGCATACTCAGAGTGTAGAGAAAGGAGCTGAAGAATATGTCCATCTTCATATGTAATTGATTGTCAGAAGGGGATCTTGCATTGTGACAAAACTCCAACTTACATCGTGTTATGAGCAAACCAAACCATCTGCAGCACAGAAGAAAGTTTATAGAATAAAGTCATATTTCTATACGTTGATTTTGATTATCTTTACCTCTAACAGACTACAAAATCTGTTTTCCTCTAATTTCTGGTTATATGGACAATTAAACGGTTTATAACAAACGTTTTATATTTTTCATAAAGCTGCTTCTCTCTGTCACTGGAATTATACAGCCATAAATTAGACATATTTATTTTGCAATGTCTGTGCTGCACACAACTTTATAGTAAAATAAGTTTAAAATAAGATGACATTTTAAAACCAACATTTTATTAGAGTTTGGAGCGATTAGCATCGCTCACGGAAACGTCAGTCTGTTTATTCCTAGTTCATAAATACAGCCCACCTTAGCTCTGTTTTTTAACTCGCTGACAAAGATGGAGGTTTAAAGCTTAAAAAGGCAAAACAGAGGAATCTGATCTTGCTACTGAAGTCTTTTTACTCCCAAAATACTTTAGTGGAAACCTTCATCCTATTTCAACAACAGAAATACCTTCAAAGAAAGTAGTTAGTAGCCTTGTGCATTTTTGAACTTCTTCTCTTTGCTATGAACACCTTGTACAACCTCAAGTTTAAGTAGGTTTACTGTCGTTCTCACCACATGTGGTACATGAGGTGGAACAAAATTATGTACACAGGGTCCCAGTTACATCCAACAAATTTAAAGTGTAAAAATAAACTGTATATAAGGATCTAAGTTGCTAACTTTGAGTCTTTTCAGTCAGTAAAACCTTCCACACAAAAGTCGAGTTATTGCGAGCACATCTCAGTGGATTAGATATGGTGTGTTTACTGACAGGGAAATTAATTTTTTTAAATTTTTGTGTTTTTTTGGTCAGTCATCCAGTCACAGGTCAAGATTAAAACTGTTTGATTCCAATCATCTGACTGGATGGTGCATCCCTAGTAATTGGTAAAGAAGCGCTTCAGATGTGTTGTCAGGACGAGGCTGCTGAACAAACCAAGTGATGACTCAACTTAGAGACGAGCAACATCTGCATAAACAACAGGAGAGTTAATGCTCTGACGTGTTGGGCCAAACTACACGTGAAAACATCACGTCTTCCTCTTATAGCGACCACTTTTTGAGCCCACTTTTTGCTTTTTACTTCCCTTTAATCTGATTAAATGACAGCGCGCACCCTAAAACCTTGAATCTGTTAAGTCTTTAAAAAATAGAGAGTTGTGAAATGCATTGAGTTAGTTTTTAAATTAATCTTTTAGCAGAATTACATTTATAATTTTAGTGTTTGTTACTGGCTCAAATTCTCTGAACACACAAAAGTCAGCGCTGGCCTTCAGTTGGCTCATTCAGGCAGAAAATTGAATACAATAGGACAACACACAAAAGCGCACTGTTTTCAATTTCCTAGCCCCTGGTAGGCATCATTGCACATCGTGAACTGTCACTCTGAATGTTTTCCTCTTGTCAAATATTCACCAACCTTAAAAACATATACAGTTCATGTTTTGAGAGGTTCTGTATGGTTTAGGTAAAGTTGTGAGGCTTAGAACGTAGATGAATAGATGTTCAGGCAACACTTCAGCTCCTCTTAATGCCCCCCTCCTTTAATAAAAAAAAACTTGCTGTTTTCTGTATTCATACAAGTTTAGTACTTTTCGTCATAACCTCCTCACCCTTATTCTTTTTATCCAAGTACACTGTAGTATATTTGATGTAATTATGTCCTCATACCTTTGGCCCTATAAACAGATTTTTTTCACCTGCCAGACCCTGAAATTGTTTTCAGAGTAGTAACAAAGTTGATGTCAATCCTCCTTTAACATTGTGGGATGAGATTCTTATATATAGATAGGAAATGCTAACACGTGGTCAACTGATCTACCACTAGCGCTCGCAAACCAAAGATCAAAATACTTGAACTGCAGATAAATATTTTTTATTAAGCACTGATTCACAACAAAGTACTACACAAAATCTCAAAGTAAAGTCCAGTTTACTTGACTCCGTTTTTGAGTGAAATCGTAGCTTCTCCGTCGCAGTTCGTAACACGAGCTCAGTTTCTCTGAAACAGAAGTTTTTTTTTAATCCAGGTCTGAGTGGAGGTTTTTCTAGACCCCACACCGACGTGTCAAATCTTATTCACGCTGCCAGCGGCTGCAGTCAATAACTTGGCTGCACTTGCGCGAGTAGCTAAACATCAGTAACAATGGCCGGGTGCTGTTTGTGCTTCTCGACATGTTGGAGCAACTTAACTTCAACCTGGGTCCAAACGAACATTTGTGTATTCACCATTTGGGTGCAACAGTTTTCATGCTCGAGACTGAAATCACTCTGCTCACGCACGTCTCGTTAAAAGACAAAACCCAGCTAGTGGCCTGGCGTCAGTGTTGCCAGATATACAATGACTGTTTTTACAAGATAGTTTTATGGTCAGCCCCCCTCCTTTTCTGTGCACCAATCACAACGCACACCTCATACAACCTTCCCTCTTCAAGAAAGTGCACCCTCACTCAGCTCACCTAATAGTTTGGTTCAAAATACAGTAATTTTAAATCAACAGTACGATCATTCTCATTCCTATCTGGCAACCCTGCCTGGCATAGCATCTACAGCGGATTCAACAAACACAGCACTACTGTGTAAACAGGTTTGTTTTATGTTTTTCGCCACCATCAACATTTAAAATGCGAACATTTCCAGAGATCATTTGCATGTGAACAGAGCTAAAAACTGAGGTAAGCCTAAACAGAGCCAGGTTCAAATCCAAACGTACACAATTCAATCCTGATATATTTCACTACATTCAGATTCAGTACATTACAGAATGCTTCAACTGAAAGCTCTGCCCCCGTTCTACTTTTAAAACCTCTAGGAACCACAAGTAAACCTGCAGTCTGGGAGTGAAGTGCTCTGTTAGGCAAATACTACGATCCAATCCAACTTTATTTATAAAGCACTTTAAAAGCACCCATACAGGACCAAAGTGCTGTACAGACGAGTTAAAAAGCACAAAAAGGAGTCAAATACAAGAAAATTATAATAATAAAACATAAACAGCTATACAATAAAAGTTGAAACAGTAAAAGGAGTATCAAATAAATAACAATACAATCAACAACATTGGAAAAAAGATGAGTTTTAAGAAGGGATTTAAAAACAGGCAGCGAGGAGGCCTGTCTGATGTGGAGAGGAAGACCGTTCCATAGTTTAGGAGCTGCTACAGCGAAGGCACGCTCGCCTCTAAGCTTGAGCTTTGTTTTGGGCACACTCAGGAGCAGCTGATCAGCTGACCTGAGAGCACTCGAGGAACACTACAATCTTTATTATGAAATAGTTGTAAAAATTAAAAAACATTAGAGAGAAGCTAAAATTGGAGAACTGTGATTTCTTGTCAGAAATCTGGCAGCAGCATTTTAGGTAATAGATTATTATTTATTTATTTTACAAATGCAGCGTTTTGTACAGACATGTAAAAAACCTGTTGTAGCTGCGTGTGATTTAGTGTACAGCAACCAAACCTACATATCTCAAACACTGAACGGTTCTCCTGCACGGCTGGAAATCAGTCGAACGGTGGGAGCAGCTTCTGTTCTCAAGTCTGCATCATTTGTTCCCCATTTCTTTGAGTCTGTGTTGACATTAAACCAGAGAACTTTCTCAGGTTAGAGAATCTTTGTTTCCCCTGACGTGTGATTTATGACGCACGAGCTTGTGTGTGCGTGTCTACCCCCTTGCGCGTGTCTTTATGCATTCTAATGTTGCTGAATTTCTCTCCTCCCACAGCAAATGGGCAGGTGTGTCTCGTCTGCCAAAGCGGTGAATGTAAGACACATTCGACTGACTGTGTTATTGCTGCAGACATTTTTCTAATGAGTGCCATCTGCGCACATCCTGCTTCAAACCAAATACTGCCTCACGTGTGTGTGTGTGCGTGTGTGTGTTGATATTCCCTCAGTTTATTACATTATCAGTTCTAGCATTTTCCCACTTACCTGCTCATCTCTTCCAGGCTATCCAGGAGCTTATCCTGCCACAGCTCCCACCTACACTCCCAACCTCTACCAAACTGGGAGTCCTGGGTATCCACCAGGTGAGCTCTTACACTAACACACATGCAGATACACATACACACACCCTGTTCGTCTTTAATCTGGTCATCTCTTGGAAAATAAATCTTCCTATGATGGATAATCTTTGAAAAAAGTAACAGATGATCAAAACCAGCAGACTGAAAAGGCTCCATTGTAGTTCAGTCACAAGTTATTTATTTATAGAAATCTCCCTTTTTTCCTTTTGCTGTTACTTTGTATAGAGATGGTTTGTTTTATCTACACTTAGCTGTGCTGATATGGTTAAAAATACTATAATATTGAAATAATTCCTTAGATAAATAACGTTATTAAGTGATTTTTATGAATATGAATATTTCTGTGCAGTGCCTTGAGACGACTTCTGTTGTGATTTGGCGCAGTACAAATAAACTGAATTGAATAATTAACTATAACATTCATAATTAAAGATTCAGACACTAAGTGTACATTTACCTGTGCAGTCTGGGAACCTGCACTGTCAGGTGAGCGTCACAGCTTTTAATCATATAGCTGAAAATGTAAACACACTTTTGCTCAAACTAATTTAAAACAAAAAAGGTGCCATTTAAGTTTTTCAGACGTAGAATATTTGCTCATGTAACAGCATGTGATTGTGTGTGTGTGTGTGTGGGGGGGGGGATAAAGGCTGGCGTTTAGTACAGTTCTTAGCATGGACTGATCATATTTTCTTACTATATAAGTAACATTTTATGTGTAAACAAAAAAAAATTAAAGCTCTTTAAACTACAAATTATACATTACCATTAATAAACGCAGCATTGTTCTTTCAAAATGTTAGCATAATATTTTGATTGTTTTTCTTTATTCTTCATTGGTATTGTGCAAAAACAAATAAATAAATCAAACCCAGCAGTGCAACAACATTTAGCTGGCCACAGATGTGCCTGCCTTTTGAACTGATTTATTATCCTTCGTCTTGTTCACTGGCTGGCCAATTAATGCACCTGCCTCAATTATTTTTATAAACTATAATTCAAATGGTAGAAGTTAGGGTTTCAAACCATGGAAATATAAGCATAATTATCAATAACAACCTTTGGGCCACAGTGGATAACTAGTATTTGTAGAAGTTGTGCCAAAAAAAAAAAGGTGTATTTTTTTTAGGGGTGCGAATCTCAGTGTCTGGCGATCCAATTCAATTCCGATTTTTAGTGTCACGATACGATTCAAAATCGATTTTTCAATTCAAAATCAATTTTTCAATTGAAATGGTCATAAATTTTGTTTCAATTATGTAGCTGACAAGCTGAAAAGATTAAACAACAATGTAAACAAATAGAACATTTATTTAAAACAATACTTTTAGGTTATTTACTGTATCAAATATTTTTTATTTATTTTATATTTATACCAAAAATAGGAAAAAAATATAGGAGTGCATAAAATTCTGTAACTTAAATTACCAGTATTAGGTTAGCTTAGTTGCCTGAATTTTTCACAAAAAGAAAAATTAAATAAATAAATAAAATAAAAATCTAGGATAAATAATTCTTCCATCCATCATCTTTATCCACTTCTTTCTTTTTGAGTCACTGGTATCACTGGTGCCCATATCAGCCATCACTGTGTGAGAGGCGGGGGACAACAGGTCTCCAGTCCATCACAGACAAATAATTCAAAATATATAAATATAAAAGTAAACAGACTTCAGCCTAACATAGTACATTAACCTTTAACTCCACATAAAATACAGACTTCAGTTATTTTTAACCATATTGCTCTAACACTTGTTATATTTTCAAAACTTAACCTAACATGAAATATACAGACTTCAGTCTTAACCATATTGATTCATATTTAGTAAATATTTAACAAAATTTCAAAACCTGTGCAAGTTTGCACAAGAATCTCTTCTGAACTATAATTTATAAACTATAAACTGTATCATTTAGACCTGACTCCAGGTGATGTGTCTCATCTGGCCTCTTCAACCTGTTCAAAATACAAATTACATTACGTTTGTTGTACAACTTGTCTATAAGTTTTAGTATAATATGAGAAAAAGCAGTTACCTTTGAGCTGCAGCTGCATCAGAGCTTCTCCCATTTGTTGTTTCACGGTGAAGTTGTGCTGCTGCTGCTTTATCGCAAAATAAAATAAAGCTACGTGAAGGAATAACGTACATTGGATCCATTGTATTAAAAATAAACCTGAACCTCTCACCTTCCACTGAGCTGTCTGCTCATAAATCCTTTGTGATACAGCAGGAGATGGAGAGGGAACTCTTCACTGCCTTTGGGGGAAGCCTGGAAGTTTGTTGTAGAGTTCGTGGTCGGCTGCTTCGCTTTCATCTTTCATGCATTTTGTCCTATTTCCAAAATACTGTACCGCAATTTTATTTTACACTTCTTGTAAACAACCGTGCTCTCGTTAAGCTCTGTCTTCCCTCGGAACAAAGAGGCGGATTGAATCGCGCTGTCTCCCTCCTCCATGCTAGCAGGCTCCATTCAGATAAAGAGAGCTGGCTAACTAGCTTGCTGTACGGTGGCCTACACGGCTCAATTCTACGGCGGACGAACGGGAAGTAAGAGCAGAAAAAATATTTAAAAATGCATTTTAAAATCGATTTATGGGCCTTTAGAAACGATTCAGAATCGCCAGGACTAAGAATCTAGATTCTTTAAAAAAATCAAATTTTTTCTGCACCCCTAGTATTTTTAAAGCTGAAAGGTTTTGAAATAATCATAATCCAAATAACCTTGAACAACTGAAACAAAACTGTTGCTCATTAATGTGAAATAATTTTCAGAACTGAAACTAACCACATCATTTAGTCTGTTGTAAAAAAGATCGTAATTTTATGTGTTGTGAAATAAAATGTAGCCTCTGCTTAAGTAAAGTCTGGCCCTAACGCTTTAATTTCTTTTATTAAAATTTCATAATGAAATTTAAATTTTCTACCAAGAGGATCCATTACTGTGGTTGGTAAGAATGTGCGATATGGCATAAAATTCATATCACGATGTGTATTGTGAAGGGTGGCGATAACGATATATATCACAATATGTTTTTGGTATAAAACTTAATAGGAGTTTTTAAAAAGCATAGGATGTCCTTTTGCCATCATATATTTTGAATTTAAAAAATTCCACTACTAGGTCCAGAGAGTTTTTAAATAATAAACAAATCAAGTATTAGGCTTCTTTTCTTGTAGTGCAAAACAGTGCAAAATATATCAAATGTAGTATTAGTCATATGTTTTAAACTAAATAATATGTTGTTAACTCTTAACAGTTTCCAGTCTTAATAAATGAACATCAACAGAGCAGCATTTTACTCTGAAACACTTCACCCTCCAAACCTCTAGTGGGCGACTCCTTCTGCTTTAAGGAGAGCCGACACAAAATGAGTCTGTGGCTTTGACCAGAGGGTCTCGCAGTAAAATCACACAACACAGCGTTCTTTTCAGAGAGCAGAGAGCAGGTTGCTCTAAAGATGACCAACGCTTACTTTAACTTTTGATGGAAAAAACAACTTTCGATGGAACACAGCGTTTTGCGCATGCATCAGAATACGGCAACACTACGGCAAGTCTGCTGTTACTGCAGTTAGCCGGTAGAAGTCAGATCTATATCGTAGGCTAAATTTCTATCGTTTCTACTGTGTACCGTATATGTCGCACATTCCTAGTGGTTGTTCTGTATCACAGTATAGTGATGCGCTGAGTTTATCTGTAATGCATACTTAACCTAAAGCAAATGTTGCTTTCCTCCATATTTAATAACCGCCTGAGCCGTGTATGGTTTCACATTTGTAGTAAACCAAACATTGCTGTTAAAATCAAAGTATCATTACAGTTGGAAGGTAGCTCCGAGGTAATATGGAGTAAATGCTGCTCTCAGCCTGAAGGCATTAATGGAGGAGGAGGAGGAGGAGGAGGAGTGGGAAAGTAGCCATGAGCAGCTGTCGGTGGCTGTACAGCAGCAGATACATTTCTGCTGGGGTTCACTGTCTGCTCCCTAAAGCAGATGGGGCTACAGACGGAGCTTTTATCACATTAGATGATGCTGCGATGGAAAAATTAATAATGTCCAATACAGTCGATTAATGGTTATTGTTGGTTTGGAAGGCAGTGAATAATACATTATCATTCATTCAGTATAATAAAAAAAATCAAAGGAGCAAAAATCATGCTGAATACTGATTCAGTATCGCCTTAATACTATCAACTGAATAAACCTTAAAATAAATATAAATTCAAGGTACGATCTGTGTTCTGTGCACAAAGAGAGAGTAGAATACAGAGCATGCGACTTGTAATATTTCTATATTGAGCAAACATCATTGTTTCAGTCTGATGACGAGATGCTGTAATGACCGTTTTAAGTTTCGTTGAATTTTATAAAGTATTATTATTACAAAGACTATGAAGTCTGTCATCATTTGAAGGATGCTTGAAGATTAAATGTTGTTAGCAAACGGGATTAAGACTAATTAAGTCGTTTTCTATTCTACTAAATTCAGCGTGTGCTACAAAAGCAGTGGGTGTTTTGGATTTTATCCGTGCTACCTCTGAAGCTGCGTCCTCTCCCTGAGTTTGTTTTACCTTCTTAAAGTCGAACAGAAAAATCAGATCTGCCAAGGCGACGCTCGGCCCGCTTTGTTCCACCAGAAACCTGAACCTCTTTGTTCAGCCCGTGTTGTTGTTTGATCGCAAGTTTATTTTTCTTCCCCGGGCTTTTCTCAGGAATTAATACACCGTGGCATTAAAACTGCGACATTTCTTTTATTCTAGACAAAAAAAAAAACAAAGAACCTCCAGACAAGGCCAGCTGTGGTCTGATTAGAGAGGTGATTTGGTCATTATTCTCCAAGACCATTCATGAACTGTTTTCTATCAGCACGGCTTTTGTGCAATTGTCACCACCGTTGTTCTTTAATGCCCTGCATGCGTGTTAAGGCAAAGAACGACTGTGAAAGCATGTGTGTGTGTGTGTGTGTGTGTGTGTGTGTGCATGCCCAAACATCCAAGCGCAGACAGACTTTTAGCCACAGAGCAGCTCCCAGCATCTCTTTGTTTCCTTGTCCTTGTGGGAGAGAAGGGCTTTCATAAGCTCAGCAGCAGCTAGCTAGTAGCATGTTTGACCTTCAGGCTCCTCCAGGTGGATGCTCAGAGGTACTGCGCTCCACAGAGACGAAAACACAGAAAGCTGCTGTTTGAGCAGGATGCCTTCACAAACCTCCTGCGTTCTCTCTGTTAGACGAGGATCCCATTTGAAATGATTTATTTAGCTTTTGCTGTGATTCTTGTCCATTTGGTTTCATCTGTGATTAATTACGAGTGCGTTTACGCTGCCTGCACAGCTTGTTTCTTCATCCTTTGTATAGTACAAGGAAGCCTGAACAAAACCTGCTGAACGAGACTGTTTTTTTTAATTAAACATAAAAAATATGCTGGGCTTTGTTTTTCAAATTGAAATCCCCTTTTAGGGCGCACCGGCCCCCATCTGGTGGACTTTAAAAGAAATACAATCAGTAAAAATGCAAACTAGTAGTCATGGTTCCCAGTGACTCTGGAAATCAGGGAAAACCTGGAAAATGATTTTTAACATTTTCCAGATATTGAAACTTGAGGACTTGGAGAAAAATCACAAAATAAAGAGGAGATATCTGAACACTGATCTGCTGATAAAAAGATGATCTTTCTGAGATTTTGACATGTACATGCATTAATGCTAGTGTTCTAGTATCATTAAGTACGTGTGCACGTTCTATACAAAGAACATGTATCCTTGCCGCTGTACACTGTAATTATTAGGGATGATGGTCGTACTGTACTTGCTGTCCTCTCTGAACGTGACTGTGCCCTCCATCTGAGTCTCTAAGCTCCGAGCGTTTTGTGTAACTGAAATATCTCCTGGAGTTTCAGGATTTACTCGGGGAGAAGTCGGGGAAGCACGAGGTGTTTTGTTTTCATTAAACGCTGATAGTACAGTACGCTTAGCTGGTTGCTAATGGTCCACACTTACTCCTTTAATTGTGTAACAAAACAAACAGTATTTTCTGGAATACTTTTACTTTAAAAGAAGATTGAAAGAGCAGTATCCTTTTTTAAATATCTGAAGGACAGGAAAGTCAGAAGTGTTTGAAGCATGATGAATGTACCGATGACCTTTGTTGCATAAAGGCAACTAGAAAAGGTCATTTTCATTAACAGGAAGTCATACGACGACTCATGACAGGAAGAAAGGATTTACTTGTGGTGGCCTCCGACAGATAGTGATCACCTTAACGCTGTAGGTCCTTTTAGCTTCCAAAGAGCTTCAGCCTCTTATCAGCAGTTAGATGTTTCCACTTCATCTTTATTGCTTTTATCAGTGTTTTTCAGGTCACCATTTTTTTTCCAGGAAAATACTCTTTCCTGCCCTTCATCAGACAATAAATCTCCTTCAGCTGTTGAAGAGTGAAATGAAATGAAAAGCATACTTTCTCTTCTTAAAAATCAAAAGCATCTGTGTAGTATTATCAGCGCATTATTGTTCACCTAACAACTCCGTGTTGACAAGGTCCTCAGTTCATCTTAAAATATTACACACACAAGTGTTAAGAGTTACCTTTTTGGTCCAAACCTTTAGTTCTACGTGGAAACGTAAATAAAATAAATCTTGTTTCCTTTCTCTTGTCTTGTTCTTTTAGGATATACTCCAGCAGGAACCCCATACAAAGTTCCCCCCACTCAGTCAAATGGAGCTCCTCCTCCCTACACCCCCACTCCCACCCCATACCCAACAGCTATGTATCCCATCCGCAGTGCCTACCCTCAGCAGAACATTTACGCACAGGTAAGAACATCAGAAACCAACTGCAGGGACGTGACGTTCTAGTTGCACCTGTTCTGCCGCCTCCGTTTCACACAGTCCTGTTTGTAATTTAGTGTTGCCTCGTTGGTCTTGTTCATTTTTCTTCTAGTTATAAATAATTTACTGAAGCAGTTTGAACAAAGTGACACCAAATGGTTTGCAATCTGGGCAACACTTTGAGCAGAAGAAGTCTTCCAATTTTCTAAATTCTTGTTAACTAATAAACGGAGCATTCATTTATTTTTGCCTTGTTATGGAGAACTTTTGTACTTTACCGTAAATATAAAATTCATATTTATGTGCCTGTCTTAGTCGAAAAATACTATGTTCAGAGTGTTTTGGAATAATGGTGAATCATTCATCATGCATCCTGTGTTTATCTGACTAGAACAAATTCATCTCATGACTGATATCTTGTCTGAGTGGTACGTTTCATCTAAATGAACCAGAGTTATCAAAGAACACAGCACAGTTCCTTTCTGACCCATTTTCCTTGTGTTTTGTCATCACGTGAACAAGCTATAAAACTGGATTGAACTTTCTGTTGTACACGCTCCCTCCGCAGGCAGGGTGACGCCTGTGTCTGTTTATTGCAATAAACAAATTCAAAGGGCGTTTTTGAAGACGTCTTTAATTTCACCTGTTTCTGTTGTCGAGACAAATTAAAGCAGGAAAAATCCACAACATCCGTCTGATTTATATTTTTAAAAATTAGCACTGGATTAGATGAATGAGCGAAATTATGTAACTGGGACCCTGTGTACATAATTTCGCTCCACCACATGTACCACATGAGGTGCGAATGACAATAAAGAAACTCTGACTCTGATGAAGACTTTGTGCTGGTGTGAGCCTCGTCTCAAACAATTAAATTAAAAGAAGCAGTTGGTCTGAAGCACCAACACTGATGGTAGTCTGGTGTTAATTCTTTATGTATTACTCTCTGAGGTGTGTAGAGCCGTGATGGACAGACGGGCTCAAATCAACTCTTTAAGGTTTATTTCACCCCATTGGAACAGATCCATTTAGTTTCCAGATCTGTGGTTTGATTTGAGATGCATGCAGACAAGACACAGATTTTTTTTTTACTTTTGTGAAAACATGTTCCTCCTGAGGCTTCCTAAATAAATAATGAATAACTGCAGTATAAAGCTCTGTCTTCTCTTATTCCTACAAAGGCTGGAAGTCTCCCCCCCCCCCAAAAAAAAAGTCTGGATATGTATTATTGAAATGAAAGTAAAATACTGAGACATTTTTGTTTCTCCAGACTATTTCCCCCTCCCATTATTTAAAAAGATTAAACTTCAAAGTTAAAAAAGAAAGTTGGCTCAGACAAGCAGCATGTTTTGTACATTACCGTGTCTTCTGCTGTACACCTCGCACCACCCTGTAAGTTGCATCAGTCCAAATGTGTCTAATAAAGTGGAAAAATACATAAACGCGTCGCTTCACCGTATAAGTCGCATCTATTATGCGTCACCGCTGACCACCAGGAAATGTGGACCAGTGTTGTGCCAAAAATCGCTGCCAAATGGCGGCCGCAGGAGTGCACGGAAGGACTATAACAAGAATTTAACAAGATTAACACTTAAAAACATTTGTTTGCTTGAAATTATAGTAAAGGTGTGTCTCCAGTTAACTTAAATTTTTCCCACCAAACTCACAAAGTTCTGTCTCTGAGAGTCAGTTTCAGGTGTTTGTATTTATCATAAACATCTGCTAAATTAATTTCTTCATGGTGTTTTGGCGACAACAAGATGTTGTGTCTGTTTGGATGAGCTAAACTGGATTATATTTGAAATCATCCTGAGAGGTAACTGTACTGTGATGAATCCAATTTAATAAATGACCATTAAAAATAAATGTATTAAACGACAACATGAGCTGAATCCAGTAAATATAATCCCTTTGAATGAGATAATCATTTTAGGGGAGAAATCTGTCAGACAAATTTAAAAAAAGTATTTTAAGTTAATTTGTACTCTGCAAATGACTTCCTGTGCTGTAATTTTTTTAAATATATCTTACAAACCCTCAATCGAAAACACTAAAATGACAGAAAGTAATCTACAGCAAAGTTGTTAAAACTCCTCTCTACCTTCAGATGATGTTGGTCCTGATGGTGCTTCATTAGACAACACTATACGGTGTACTTTTATTACTGTCATGTACACAATGTACTGTGTACTTTTACTACGATCACGTACACAGAATCAGGTGTGCTGGAGCAGATTTGGGATAGTGTTCCTTGAGGACCAGGGTTGGAAACCACTGGCTTAGAGCATCTGTTGGTGAATACTCTCAGCACATATCAAGCTTTAACTAAGAAGCTGAAGGAATTGAGTTATAGTGGTGCTTGAAAGTTTGTGAACTCTTTATAATTTCCTATATTTCTGCATAAGTATGACCTAAAGCATCATCAGATTTTCACACAAGACCTAAAAGTAGATGAAGAGAACCCAGTTAAACACATGAGACAAAAATATTATACTTGGTTATTTATTTATTGAGGAAAATGATCCAGTATTACATATTTGTGATGGTAAAAGTATGTGAACCTTTGCTTTCAGTATTTGGTGTATTTGATGTTCTCCTGATGGTGGCTCATGACCATCAACATTAGTCGATGTGAGAGAGGCCTTCAGTTGTTAGAAGTTACCCTGGGGTCCTTTGTGACCTGGCTGACTATTCCACTCCTTGCTCTTGGAGTGATCTTTGTTGGTCCACCACTCCTGGGGAGGGTCACAATGGTCTTGAAGTTCCTCCATTTGTCCACAATCTGTCTGACTGTGGATTGGTGGAGTCCAAACTCTTTACAGATGTTTTGTAACATTTTCCAGCCTCATGAGCATCAACAACTCTTTTTCTGAGCTCCTCAGAAATCTCCTTTGTTCCTGCCATGATCCACTTCCATAAACATGTTGATCAGACTTTGATAGATCCATGTTCTTTAAATCAAACAGGGTGCCCACTCACACCTGATCATCATCCCATTGATTGAAAACACCTGACTCTAATTTCACCTTCAAATTAACTGATAATCCTAGAGGTTCACATACTTTATCATCACAAATATGTAATGTTGGATCATTTTCCGCAATAAATAAATAACCAAGTATAATATTTTTGTCTCATTTGTTTAACTGGGTTCTCTTTATCTACTTTAGGACTTGTGTGAAGATCTGATGATGGTTTAGGTCATATTGATGCAGAAATATAGAAACGTTTGTACAGAAAGTGATTGTTCTTAGACATCGAAAATCACTGGAGAATTGCCAAAGTGATCTAAATAAAAAGTTTAGAAAGGCCTGGAATGTTGAACTGGCAAATGTGTAGGAGTCCTGTAAAGGAATAACAAGCTTTCCCATGTGTGTTTTCTCTGGGCAGGGAGCATATTACACCCAACCTGTGTACGCAGCTCAGCCACATGTGATCCATCACACCACTGTGGTGCAGCCCAACAGCATCCCCTCCACAGCCCTCTACCCTGCCCCCGTCACCGTTCCCGCACCTCGCAACAACGGCATGCCTGCCATGGGGATGGTAGCTGGGACAACCATGGCCATGAGCGCAGGTACCACTAAGATTTAGTCCACATTTCAGAGATGACGCATTAATACACGTCCACTTCTCTCTCCTGTTTTCTGTGCTATAATTTGTTTGGGACCAATTATACCCATAACTGATTTCCCATTTTTGTTGCCAAATCTGCATAGGGACCCTGCTGACGACACCCCAGCACCCCCCAATTGGAGCACACCCAGTTACTGTGCCAACCTACAGGCCCCAGGGAACGCCTGGTTACAGCTATGTACCGCCTCACTGGTAGAGCGCCCCCATCATGTGAGTGTATTTACCCTAAAATATACAGGTGCTGGCCATAAAATTAGAATATTGTGAAAAAGTTGATTTATTTTAGTAACTACATTCAAAAAGTGAAACTTGTATATCATATTCATTCATTACACACAGACTGATATATTTCAAATGTTTATTACTTTTAATGTTGATGATTATAACCGACAACTAATGAAAACCTCAAATTCAGTATCTCAGAAAATTAGAATATTGTGCAAAGGTTCAATATTGAAGACAACTGGTGCCACACTCTAATCAGCTCATTAACTCAAAATACCTGCAAAGGCCTTTAAATGGTCTCAGTCTAGTTCTGTAGGCTACACAATCATGGGGAAGACTGCTGATTGACAGTTGTCCAAAAGACGACCATGGACACCTTGCACAAGGAGGGCAAGACACAAAAGGTCATTGCTAAAGAGGCTGGCTGTTCACAGAGCTCTGTGTCCAAGCAGGTTAATAGAGAGGTGCAGGGAAGGAAACAATGTGGTAGAAAAAAAGTGTACAAGCAATAGGAATAACTGCACCCTGGAGAGGATGGAGAAACAAAACCCATTCCAAAATGTGGGGGAGATTCACAAAGAGTGGACTGCAGCTGGAATCAGTGCTTCAAGAACCACCATGCTCAGACATATGCAAGACATGGGTTTCAGCTGTCGCATTCCTTGTGTCAAGTCACTCTTGAACAAGAGAGCATCAGAAGTGTCTCGCCTGGGACTGCTGCTGAGTGGTTCAAAGTTATGTTCTCTGATTAAAGTCAATTTTGTCTTTCCTTTGGAAATCAAGGCCCCAGAGTCTGGAGGACGAGAGGAGACACAGAATCCATGTTGCTTGAGGGCCAGTGTCAAGTTTCCATAGTCAGTGATGGTTTGGAGGGCCGTGTCATCTGCTGGTGTTGGTCCACTGTGTTTTCTGAGGTCTAAGGTCAACACAGCATCTACCAGGAAGTTTTAGAGCACTTCCTGCTTCCTGCTGCTGACCAACTTTATGGAGATGCAGATTTCATTTTCCAACAGGACTTGGCACCTGCACACAGTGCCAAAGCTACCAGTACCTGGTTTAAGGACCATGGTATCCCTGTCCTTAATTGTCCAGCAAACTGGCCTGACCATAACCCCATAGAAAATCTATGAGGTATTGTGAAGAGGAAGATGTGATACACCAGACCCAACAATTCAGAAGAGCTGAAGGCCACTAGAGCAACCTGGACTCTCAGAACACCTGAGCAGTGACACAGACTGATCCAGTCCATGCCACGCCGCAGTGCTGCAGTAATCCAGGCAAAATGAGCCACAACTAAGTACTGAGTGATGTACATGTTCATACTTTTCATGTTCATACTTTTCATGTTCGTACTTTTCATGTTCATACTTTTCATGTTCATACTTTTCATGTTCATACTTTTCATGCTCATACTTTTCATGCTCATACTTTTCATGTTCATACTTTTCATGCTCATACTTTTCATGTTCATACTTTTCATGCTCATACTTTTCATGTTCATACTTTTCAGTTGGCCAACATTTCTAAAAATCCTTTTTTATTGGTCTTAAGTATTTTCTGAGATACTGAATTTGGGGTTTCATTAGTTTTCAGTTATAATCATCAACATTAAAAGAAGTAAACATTTGAAGTATATCAGTCTGTGTGTAATGAATGAATATAATATACAAGTTTCACTTTTTGAATGTAGTTACTGAAATAAATCAACTTTTTCATGATATAATTTTTATGACCAGCACCTGTACTCTCGCCTCCACCTTGGTCTTCTCTCCTCCGTCTGTTCTCCACCCTCCCTCTTCTTCGTTCCTTTTTATTAATGTGCTTGTCGCACTCAAACAGTCTGAAACCTCCCATTTCTTTCCTGTTTTTTCTCGTCCTGCTCAGACGCCATTTTAAATCCGTTCCTCGTGTTTGCTCTTGTTTCAGATCTGGAGTCCACCATCGTATGCAACTCGCTCAAATGTTACACGAGCTCCCAGCGGTAACCACGAGAACTCGTCACCTGTCTGCAAGAACAAAACTAAAGTGCAACAGCCACTTTACTATTATTGTTATCAAGCGACATTCTCTGATGTATTTACAAAAGCTGCTTTTGATTTGATTTGATTTTTCTTTTTATTTGCCAACCAGTCATTACCTTTTTTATTTTGATTGTTTATTTTGAATTTCCTGTTTTAATTTTGTTTATTTTTGTTGTTGCTGCGTCTGTCATTGGAACTCCAGAAGGACTCTCGACCTATCACGGGTGTCGGTCGCTCCTGTTTCTGTGTTGTTGGTGTGTGTGGTCCCGCCTGCTGCTGCGGGTGATGATGATCAGCTGGCTGGAAAAATATCAGGCACTTAACTCTTCGTCGTCATCATCGTCCCCATCAGTCACTACAGCTATTGACTAATGCTGCCAAATTTTCTAACACATAGATATCAGCACAGGGTTTTACCATGATTAGGCTCTTTGTTTGTAAAGTTCCAGTTGTTTTTGTAAAGTTCATTTTTATCCTCTTCTGCCTGATTTGTTCCATTTTTCAGTTCGACCTCAGTCGTCTTCCAGCGCGTAGCTTTGTGTCCGACGGTCCGTCGTCCCTTTTGTCACCTGTTCACGTGAGTGTTAGTCAATGCTGTGAGCACTTACCGACCACAACGCATCACGTGTCTTACTTTGTCTGTGTTGACGTTGTACCAAGTACACACTAAATAAAAGACTCAAGCACTTCATACTACATACTATGCAGACTGGTATGTTGTGATACTGTTAAAATCTTAGCCAGAGAACGTTTCGGACATGTTTGGGTCGTTTCAGCTTGTGTTGTTAATGTGGATGGGGTGGGTTTGTGGGGGTGGGGGGGGGACTATATAAACAGTCAACAGCATGAGGCGTCATTCACACCATGACACATACAGATACACAAATGCACACACAGGAGCTTGTTTGGCATACAGAAAACAATGACTTAGCAGCACTTACTGTACGGAGCCTCCAGTGGTTAACGAGCAAACAGCCGTGGTTTTCTGGGGTGGTGTGGTGGACATGGCCAGCAGGAGTGTAAAGGGATCAGGCAGGAGAGGAGGACAGTGAGAGGAAGGAAGACGACTTGACGTTTAATATTGTTTAAAATGTACCGATTGTGTAACCTGCTTCGTCCTTTCCTCAGACAAATAAAAACACAACAAATGAGGTTTTGGGTAATTGTGAACGGCCCATGAAGCCTCAGTATTAAAACTGAGGCTGTGTCAGCCATTTTGACCCAAGGGCAGCATGAGGGTTAACAATATTACTACATACCAACTTTGGATATGCATCAGAAAATACATTTGTAGGTAGGACTGCTGGATGGATTTGAATAGTATTGCATCAAATTGTGTTTATTGGTCCTCGCTTTCAGTGGATTTGGGTGTTGGATAGATTGTCAGTGGGAATTAAAGAGATGCGTCACCTCTTTTGAAGCGGGGGTTTGTGGGAAAGTTATGAACAATTAATATCTTACCTGTTGTAAGGGTCAGGCTTCACCTGTTTGGTGAAAAATTGTACTTCTGTTGTTTTTTTTTTTTACCAGACTGGACCAAAATGGATTATGTCACTGACAATTTTGCATTGCTCTGTTTTGTTACATAGAAATTTATGGTTATTTGAAAGCTCAAATAGTAGCAGCAGTTAGCTATAGCACTTCACATTTAGCCCAGGCCATTTCCAGCTAACATGAATAACAGTATATGTGAAAGTGGTGGCAATGTAAGTTTATTAAAACATTTTTGCATGAACTTCTTTGAAATTATTAGAAATGCATGATATTGGATTTTTGGCCAATATCCGATATGCCGATATATTAAAACTTATTTGGCCGATACCAATACCGATATGTTCCCCCTAAACCCACTTACAGAAAATACAGAGCTTTCTCTGCTGTGAAATTAAAATACTACATTATTCTGCATGGTCTTTGTCAATTTGGCCTGCTACCAAATACAGATGATGCAACAGTATATAAATATATAATGTATATTTAAAAGAAGGGCACCTTTTCTATTGGTGAGTTATTTTGAGGGAATGTCCGATATTTTACTTTATTGCTAATATCAGTCGATACCATGCCGATAATACCGTTCACCCCTTGAAATTATTATTATTATTTTTAGATTAGAGTTGTTTAAGATGGCAACGATCCACTTTGGGCTTTGGTCTGCTCAGACTAGCCATTAGCTCATCAATCCAGTTATCCAGAAATAAACTCCTTTTCTCCAAACAGAGCGATCTACAGGTTACACACTGTTTGTTCATAACTGTTCCACTCCCTTACTGCAAAAGATCTGAACTGTCACTTTAGTGTTTAGGCGAGGCCTGTGGCGTTCTTCAGGCTTCACACCAAGTTTCACATCATAACTTTATCTGTAGATCATAGATCGCTATTACACACACAAAAAAAGCATTTACTGTGCGGGTATGTGGAAGAAGTGGTTTGATTATTGCAATAAAATAAGAGGGAACGCCTCCAGCTCTTAGCATACAGTAATTATTCTGTCAGCATTTTTTAAAACCGCTTCTTGTTGTAATATTTAATAATGGATTTGAGGCTGTTTTATGGAGCCTTCATTCAATAATTATTACAGTTACTGCTAAGACCTTAAAAACATATCAAACGTTTGGGGTATTGGTTAACATTGTGAGAAAATATTGCACAATATAAGATAAAGGAAAAAAAACTTGACTATACTACTATAATTTAATGCTAAGTAACAGGTACTTAGGCTTTGTAGTGGAGGAAGAAGCAATTTATATAATTAAATAAAACAAGTGTTTGAGGTATTCTTAGTCCAGATGTTTGTACTCTAGTAGGTTAATTCTCAAGATGTTGCATAATGCCGCTGTCGGAGGAAAACAACATATATTTGAGCCCTAGTGAATAAAATAATGTATTTTATATGATAGCAAGTGAAGGTTATTGGCATGAAGCTTTCCAGCCATTTAAGGATTCTGTATATTTTAAATAATGCTTTAAATTGACTGCAAGAGTGGAAATAAAACAGGATTTTCTTGCAGCAGCAGTGAAGTTACTCTACAGTAGGACTATTATTTAACCAACCACTACGTTTGTCAGTATTTCTGGTTTAAATTGTTTGGTTCTTTGTTTTAGCTCTTCTCCCTTTGGTCAAATGATCATACAGTAATTGGTATGCATAAATATTCAGGTGTCTTTCACTATAGCATTGGATTTCTAGGTTTAAACAAAACCTGCAGTATATTTAAACAAGTGGTACAGTAATGTATTTCTAGCTAAGCATGGTTGCATCAATGTGGCAGCTACTGTTTGTGCTTTTAATATTCTTGTTTATATTTTATTTTTTTCAACTTTCTCCACCTCTGTCCTCTACATATCTTTTCACTGCGACAGGAAAAGGTCAAAGTCTGTAAATAATGTTAGAAATTGAGGAATTTGTCTCCAAATTCCAGCGAGTTTTTTTTATTTTATTTTATTTTTTACGGACGCCTGAATTTACAGACGTCGAGGAAAGTAGAGGAGAAACAACGACGCTGAAGCGGACCTTTGCTGTCCGTTTTTGTTCTGTTGGCGCATTCGATGATGTCTCGGGAAACTCCCAGCCTCAACCCCATTATTATTTGTCATTTTCTGTGCCATATTTTACCAGTTGTTGTTTAGTAAATATTAGTTTCTTCTCCTAAATAACTGGTGAGCTTGTTCCGTCTTGCTTGTTGTGAAATCTGTGTTTTCCTGTTTGCTGTCTTCTTTCTCAAGTCGTAGGTCCTGGCTGTTTCCATCTTGTTTTAACTCTGTGCCGTTTTGCACCTCAGACATTCTGAACACGTTCTGGGATGCAAAATGACGTCGGCTCATGTAAACAGAGGTGTCCCCACACTTCCTCTGTCCTTGTTGCTTTTTCCTTCAGATTGTTCATGTGCTACGGGTCTGACCTTTCCTACCCTCACTGGTCCATCTCAGCAGAGGGCATGCTAAATAAAATAATTGTATAAATTTATGGTAATGGTGGCAATCAGCAGCGTTTTAAAAAGCTCACTGACCCATTTTAAACACTAGATGTCACCAGTGACCAAGTCTAGAAGTGGCATCTGGTTTCAGGCTCTGAGCCTTTATCAGACAGTAAATGGTGCATTTCAAAAATTATATTAAAATAAAATAAAACGTAACATTTTAAGCACTTGGATATTTGGGGGTGATTTAAGGCGTTTCAAAATAATCTTGTCTGGCATTTTCAGACATGCTCTACTGGACTCCACGTGAGGTCTTTAGAGCTGTGGACCAACGCGCTTAAACTTGAATTCAGTTTCAAAGTGGAGGCCCGGCAGAGAGGCAGATCCACAAAGCTGTTGACAGAAAACAACAAAGCAAGCTGGGTTTTTTTTTTTCTGGAGGTTTTTACTGCCTCTTCTTGTCGCTCCATTCCGCGCTTCGTTTATTTCAATTTGCACTTAAGTAAAAAAGTGGAACGCTGAACACTTTGGTGTGTTCAGGGGGGGAGTCTGATGTGCAAAGTTGTCTTAATCATGGTTCTTTCATCACCGCTTCATACGGTGTTCGGTCTTCTAGAACAGGGGTTCTCAAACTGGGTTCAGGGGCCCCCTCATAACCCTCATGTTGATTTAATAAGTTCGTCTCTTTAAGGCAATGGAAATATTTGTGTAACATAAATACTTCTTAAGATCTGCTCTTTAATAGAGTTAATACATTGTTTTTAAACTTTAAACCTGGAGCATTTTTCATTCAAGACACTTGATTAACAAAAGTTTTAATTTCAGTATCCAGCAATGCGCTGGGGGTCCTCCCCCAGAAAAATTTTAATAAAGTAGATGCAATTTTTTCTGCATTTTGGTGTATTTTAACAGCTTGTTAAACATCTACGTTCTTATAAATTTTTTTTATTTTTTTATTGCGGACCCCCAAGCACCGGCTCGCAGACCCCCGAGGGTCTGGAGACCCCAGTTTGAGAACCAATGTTCTAGAACAAAACCCAAAGATCTAAAAGATAGTTACTTAATTATTTTTTTTATTCCAGTGTAATTTCAAACTCAACCTTTTTACTTTAACAGTGAAACGTGACCAGAAAAATTTGTTACACCTTATTTTTTTCTCCCCTGCCTTTCAGTTTTTCATCAGTAAAAATTAAAAACACTACTATCACAATAAAAAGTAGGCTCTTAAATGTCTTCGATGTTCTGCTGCAGCTCTTTTTATTATTATTTTTTAACTCGTCAGAGGTCTGTCTTAGTTTGATTTGACACTAAATGCGATGCAAAAAGTGGAAAAAAATTCCTCGTCTTCCTAACAACACGTGCTCTCGTCCCACTCGGGATGGAGTATTAGGAACAACCCCATCTTTGGAAGTTTTGGTTTGGTACCCAGTTTGCACATGCCATGGTATATCTGTTACCGTACGGTTGTGTTTGAAACTGAAGCCCAACGTCTGTTCAGCGTTGAGAGAAGTGAACTGTATGTTAGCTATTTGGTCCGGAGTGAAGGACCTGCGTCAGGCTTGTGATATGAAGTGTAAATCTGTTTTCTTTTCATTTTTTTATGTATTTTTGTTGTTGTTTTTTTTATTTTTAATTATTTTTTAAGATCAGTTAGTGATCTTAGTACTTTAACTAAGCCAAGTTTGTAATTGTATATTTACTGTAAAATGTAGAACATTGAATAACTATTAAAATTTTCCTATAAAAGGAAGATTGTCTGAGTTTTCTTTTTTTAAATTTGCTGTTATAAGCTGAATATCGTCTCGCTGTGATTCATGTGATTCGAGGATTTCCAAATTATTTATTTTATTGAATGCTCAGATGAGTTGTTTTTTTTTATATATATTTTCTGTAAAATCACCAGTTTAAAATAATTTTCTTAGTACTGGATAAACTGACTTGTGTCAAACATTTTGGGTTTCCTTGCACAAGTGTCTCACAATAGTTTGCTGGAATGTTCTCGTTGTGTTTCCTGACGGAACTGATGTGAGGACGTGCGTTCGTAGGCCGCCTTCGCAGCACCTCCTAGAAACTCTTTGGGACTGAGATCAGGGCTTTGATGGACACCAAAACATTTCTGTTGTCCTTGTCTCCTCGTCATCGTCCATCTGGAAGACCGTTTTATGCCCAAGTTTTAACTTCTTGGTTGATGTCTTGAGCTGTTGCTTCAACCCCTCAACATGATGCTGCCACCCCCATACCTCTGTTAGGAAGATGTTTTCAGGCTTTCACCTTCCTCCATTTTCCTCCAAATGGTCATTATGGTCAAACAGTTCACTTTTGCTTTCTCCAGTCCAGACCACGGGACATTAAGGTCTTTGTTCCTTTGTGCCTTTTTGAAAAACGATGTTGCTTTTGGAGTATCCCTCGTTTATCACGGGGGCTCTGTACCCTGAAAAGTGAAAACCCGCAAAGTAGGAATAGTAGTACAAGTAGTAAGTTTATTTATAGTAAAAATTCCATGCCGATCGTGCAGCTCATCCGTCAATCAGCCAATTGTGTGTCTTGTCCAATCGTATTTTGAAAAGCCGTGATAGAGGGAGGGTCTTCCTCCAGCATGTTTTACTGGTACAAGCAGGTGAGACCACATCACTTCAGCTGTAACAGCTGGTTTCCTATGTGTTTTTGGATTGGTTTGAAAATTTTATGTTTAAAGTTTTAAACCCAATTATTTACCTGAACGTCTTGGTTTATAACCTTGAAAGAGCTCTGACCAGCTGCTTGGTTCAGCTGAGGGCTAAATTAAAGTGCAGGAGATTCATCTGCACAGTTTGTACTGCCGTCTTTTAAAACTGGCCAGACAGTTCAACATCAGCTTTTATTGTGAGATCAGATAGTTCAACCCATGTTGGTACAAGATTTGTTTCACTCTAATGACTCGTACCACCTTCAACCAACAAACAAACCATGCTTTTATTTTGGGGTTGGTTCACACATCTTGCTTACGTTCATCTCACAAACACAGGACCTGCCTCCTTCCTGAGCGATGTGATGGCAGGACGTTTTCATGGTTGTTGCATAATTTAATCATCCTTTCATCAACTCATTAAACAAATAAGCCACACAAGGAAAACTAGATCTTTACAGCCCAGGTTTAATCTT